AGAGTAGATTTCCCAATTTCCTTTCAAAATCACCAAAGCTGATATGATGTCTCATTAATAAAGATAGAAACTCTCACCATGCCCACAGTAATTGAACAGATTTTGAGGCTTTATACCTGTGGTATTTCACCAGAGCCTTTCCTGATTTAGTACTGGTTTCCTAATGAAATGAGGCAGATCTGTTTCTCTGCACAGAAATGTGTGTCTGTCAGTGACCCGTTATAACTTTCAAATCTGCAAGGAGAGTTCAGTTGAATTTGGCATGGTTGAAGTGTCACTGAAATTCTGTCTTGATAACAACAACGCAAGAGAGGACAGACATGTTGCTCATGCAAGGATCCTGCAGTAAGGCTAGTCCATAACATACTTCATAGAATCCACACTGGCATTTACTCTTCGATCATGGGAAAACCAAGCTTCACTGGTTCTACTGATCACTTAAGTATTTATTCTCAGTATGACAGGGAAAATAGGCCTACACACATTTACAGTGTCAGGGTACTGACTGCAGTGAAGGTATGAATATGCTCAGATCCACATATATTATAGGCAAATGCATCTTGAATTGCATATCAAAACTGGAGCACAACATAGCAATGGCAGCTCAGTATTGCATTCCATAGGAGAGGTTGAAAAACAAATGGAATTGCTTGCCAGTGAAAAAAACTATACATTTTTAAATCTTCTTACTTCAAAATGAGCCATAGAATAGGTCATACAATACATAAAGGCAAAATGAATATATTAGGAATGATTTATCATTATGGAAATGTGCAGATGCTTATTGGTGGCATGAGTCATATAACATGCAATTTTCACAAAATATGTTGTTAATAATAGATAAGGGTTTATCGCTATATTATTATAAGAAACAGAAAGAACAATATTAAAACTTGTTGGAATTGGAATCAAATAATTTACGGTACCTTGAGTTGTTTATGAAATTGAGCTACTCAGCCATTACTACTAGTTACATTTTAAAGTCAAATTTTTAAAGTAGATATACATCAAGTTATTGTAGTTACTCATCACAAACCAGATTGACCTCACTGTTGTACAGTAAGTTAAAATAAATGCTCTTACCTATGCCTACCTACACTAAATGGAGAGAAGAAGCAAGCACTTCCTTGTCTTTGTTTCTAACATACATCTGCAAGAAAACTCTTAAAATTGGCTCTGTGAAGCTTACTTCACATGCAATTGGGTGGGCTCATTCCTATTTAACTGTCTGGGGAATTTTCAGAGCATGAGTTCAGTTATGGTCAAGTCCTCTGTATAGCTTGGCTGGTGAGTGATGTAAGACAGCAAGACAAAACAAGTCTGGGACAAGAGGCTAGGAACACTAAAGTTGTTTTTAACAGTACTTAAAGGCCCCCATACACCTTAATCTGAACTTTGTCAGGATCATGCTAGAGCAGTTCAGATATGGGTAGCCCTCTTCCCCAGCACTGTGCCACCAATGAGTATGTCTTCCCTCCCACAGTAAATCATTTTAATAAGTCACCGCAGGATGCTCCCTACATTCCGAGTTGCCTTTGCCAGCTTGTATCACTACTGAAGATGGTCAAAACACAACAGAGTTTGCAGTCACATTCTTGTACTTCAGCTCTTGGGTCTGAGGAGTCCTACCACAGGAAAGATAATGTTCAGTCTTCATAACTGCTTGACTTGAAATTTCCGAAGAGTTCCTGCCATAGTGCCATCAGGCGAAAATTAACTCATGAGAAAGTACAGGGTATGTACAACTCTGCCTGGCATGCAAAATACCTGAAAACTTCATTGTTCATTGTCTTAGAAAATCAATACACATAGGAGACAAACTGAATGCCAGGAAAAACTAATACACCTTTGAAAATAGCAATAATTTTTTGTATTCTGTCTAGGGAAAACAGAATTTGTGTTTATGCCAAACAGTGCAGGAGAGTTTTTCGATCTTGCCAATTCCATTTCATTAGAGGTCAAAACTTTCCACATAGTTAATTGAAAAGCCACTGATCAGGAGAAGTTCATAATCCAGCAGTAACTTAAAGGAAAATCAAAACACGTTCCATAGATATTAGCACAGGAATTGCATTCATTATTGTTTTTATTGTTAGCATAAAGAAAAGGAATTTGGAAAATCCATCTGTTCTCACAGATGGAAGCTGCATGACATGAGGCTCCAGAGGGTCAGAAACTCACACTCAGTCCTCAGTGAAAAGAGGCTACTGCTGCCCCAACCTGCCTCAGCACCAAGAGGACACAGGTTTCTTTTAAGGTCCTCCTTTTAACCCCTTTGTTTTCCAAAGAATTTGGCCTGGCTTCTAGTACTCCCAAATCCCCACTCCACCCCAAGAATATTTATTATTTTCCAAACAAAAGAATTCACCTATTCTGAGGGAAGGTGATGCCTTTTTACTTCCTGTAAGAGGTTGTGTATGTAAATAAATACCAACAACTATGCTTCATCAATCTTTACTGCTCAAGTATCTTTTCCCTTGCCCATCCACCACATCCCACTCCAAAACCACATCTTGTACAACAGGCTCAGAGGTTGCAAAGCAAAGCATTGCCTTGGTACAGAACTGTGCTTATTTTCCCATAACATTTCATTTTTTCCAACAGTTTTCTGAAGGAAGACTCAGATCTTTGAACCCAGCCTTTTCTGCTGTCAGGCAGGGCCAGAAAGCAAACACACAGCAAAGGAACAAAGAGAAAATGAATGCAAATAATGTCTATAGCAACAAGGGAAAGCTGCATACAAAAGGCAGTGACTAATTAAAATGTATTCTTTTCTCACAAGGACTCCTAATTAGCTCTCTAATACCATTCTCATATAATTTATCACTTTGATGCTCTCCTGTCACATAAAAAATGTGCAGAATCTTCCTCACTATCTCCACCTGAGAGAAACTACAACTTTTCCACTTTCAGCACTGAATAGGATTTCTCTGTCTGAGAAAGGGAATACATCCCTACACACTGTATCTGACAGATTCACCTTAGATACTGGTAGCAAGACATGTGGACAGGTCCCCACACATGGCTCACCTCACCCAGCTGTGCTCCCAAGCCTCCTACCTGTTTGACCCTACAGTCTCAGCCCTGCTGGAGGAATGGATGACACAGCAAATGAATGCCTTAGTGCCTGAAAATCTAGTGGTCCTTATCTCAGGGACAGAATTACACCTGATTCCTGAGCTTGAATCCATAATTCAGAGAACTCAAGGGAAGGCATTCAGCACCCCTCTGATGCAGTTACACCATTTATCTGCAACAAGAGCAGGGAGCAGCAGCAGGTGGGCTGGCACTGAAGCTTGGCTAGAAGAGCAGTATTTCTCAGGAATTACCAGGTAAGATGAGACACACAGCCTGTTTAGCCTACTGCTCCTTCAGGGTGACATGCCAAATGCTTCACTAGAACGTAATTACAAAACATAATTACAAAACTTATGTTTAGTGTTTCCTCTTATGTAGTTACAGGAACTGGGAAATAGTTTCAAGGTAAAAGGGAAATGGTTTCAAACTAGAACGGGAAAATTAGATTGGACATAAGGAAGAAGTTTTTTTACAGTGGGGTTGGTGAGGTACTGGAACAAGTTGCCCAGAGAAGCAGAGGAAGCTCCATCCCTGGACACATGCAAGGTCAGGTTGCACGGAGCTCTTAGCAATCTGATCCAGCCATAGGTGTCCCCGTTCATTGCAGGGGTGTTGAAATAGAGGATCTTTAAGGGCCTCTTCCAATTCAAATGACTCTATGAGTCCGTCAGAGCAGTTTCCTGCATGTGACTTGTGATACTCATAAGTCCTGAGGGAGATTTTTTAACTCAAATACAAAGCAGTTTAAAGCCTCCAGGATCTTCATTTCAGAGAAACTAAAGCAGAAATGACTCCACGTGTGCCACACAGCTTTAAACCCATATAAGCAGCCATCTTAATTCTAAAATGAGTTTATTTACAAATGCATCAGACCTGCAGTGCAGTAAATACTATCAACTTGTCTGGAGTCCAATCTACCAGTCTGAATATCTACCACGAGCAGATTTCTCCTTATGCAGCTGATTTTAAGTATTAACATAAGAGATTTAGGCAATCTTTTTCATAATTTAAATATAACAAGTGGCAGAACACCACACTATGCTTTCATATTGTGAAATGCCATATGCCACAATATGTGGCAGCTTGGCTCACTGGCCTACCTAGCAATCAATTCAGTGTGTGCCTAAAGGTCATGTTTAATATGCAACCTGAATCACCTTCCAGGACAGAGCAAGCACAGGCAGTCCAGTGCTGTCATCACATGCAACAGAGTGGCAGAAGCCTTTTTAAAAATTGCTGTTGGAAATTTGGCCTTAAGAACATAAAAACTAACACAACTTTTGAAATGTCTAAAAATGTAAGTGATGAGCAAGATTTAAAAAACATGTTCCTGTTTCAGTCTGAGTGCAAATTAACATTTACATTTATAGTATAGGCACTATGTACGTCAATAGATCTCACTGATGAAAAATACCTCTTATGATCCTATCAGTAACCTCAACACACAGCACTTGATTTCAATGGGTCAAATGTCTTCAGTTGCATGCATCCAAAAAAAATCATTGTGTGATCCAAAAGGACTACTAAAGAATTTACATACATGGAAGAAGCTTCCTTAGTGCATCTGAGGACATTGATACAAAAGAAAAAGTACAGTGGTTTCGTATACCAATAGTTGCAATGCATTGTGGCTGTTGTATTGTGGCTTTCAAATTTAGTTAATTAAGATACATTTCATTAGAAGAAAATATTTGTAAAGTCAGCTAACAAGAAGCTATGTTGATTAAAAAGGTTCACAAAAGAAATTCCCAACATTCTTCAAACACATTTGAATTACTTCCCTAATTAATATTAAGAACCGAGGCTTTTGAGATTGATGTCATAGGAAACAGCATCTTTTTGTTTTCTGATCATATAAAATGATGACAGCTTACTTTTCTGTAGAGATTCTGAGCTTTCTAACTAAGCTTCATTAGAGAGAAATGGAAGTCATTTCAACCCCGAAGTTTATTCTACTTACTTTGGGTACAGTGGTGTTTCTAACACCACATGCTATGTGCCTAGATGAGCTAATGAAATCCAGCCTGGAGAGCAGAGAAGACGCTGATGATAAATATTATGAGGTAAGATTTGTATTACTAAGGTAGCATTTGGGGGAACTGTGGGTCAAATCCTGGGCACTGAATTTATTGATAAAGGCTCTCTAACTTCACAGAGTATGGAACTACACAGTGCGGTATAAAAAAGTCTTGCAGAGAGAATTTTTAGGAAATTTGTTTGCTGTCATACACAAACCGTGTAAATCAATGCATGTATCAATTTTCTTGCAATCCAGCCTTGCGATAGGAGAGACTTCTTCTGACATGTTTCTTACTTACACAGTGGGGCCTTAGTTAACATTCCTGTCACGTATTTCATGCACATAATATAACAAATGCATTATTAATCCAAAATTAATAAAGGCATGCTTGTAATATTCAAAGAATAATGATAAACAGAGACTATTATGAATCTAGTGTAGTTAATAGACTTAAAATTCTATTCTGGAAATTGGCTATAAAAATATCTTCACAGGGTTGCACATTTATTATATCTCAGTACATGCCAGATCAAATTTGCACAGTTCATCTATGCACATTTTTTCTTGTCTATCCTGCAAATACTCCCTGGGAAATAAGAGCCAACCTTTCTTTTTGTCTCATCATCATTAGTGTAATAAAGATACTTCAAGCCAAAATACACCTTTAAGTACTTTAGTGAAATCTCCTGGTCTTTAGATCTCTCTGATATACTTCAGGTGCACAAGTGCAATCAGAGACATCATTTGTTTAACATTTTAATCGTAGAATATGAACTAGAATGGTTCATTCTCCTTCTCTCCCAATAGCTGGGGAAGCCACAAAACGTAGATAGGAAATTGAAATTAGGATTAGTAGAATTCATGTCTTCAGCTGAAGTAAAAAATCATATTTTCTCTGCTAAGGAAGAGAAAACTGTTTTTGTGACAAAAAAAAAAATAAAAATTAATTAGTAGGAGTGATTTTCAATGCACCCAGGGAAGAAACACTAATAAATAGCCAAGGGTCACATTGGTATAGTGATTTTTCAGGTAGCAGCTGCATTTGACATCATAAAATGTGTAACATACTGAGGTCAGCTCTTTACCATAGCCACAAAAATTACATTTTGTGTTTCTTGGCTCTGACAGCCCACAAGCAATCATTGTGTCTTCTGTATTAATGGAGGATCAAAGTAACTTAAAGCTCAGCACAGCTTCTATGCTGCAACGCCAGAAGAGCATTTACAAGGAATTGACTCAAATACTTTCCATTTGTTTTGTTAGCTCATGAGGATGTTGGGTCAAAAGCACCCACCTAATGCCTAGCAAGAAACAAGGTACACTTTCAGATGTTTTGGTCCATCCTCCTATTGGTATCAAGTCATAACTACAGTCAGCATCTTCCCCACAGACAACTTCAAGCAGTGATATTAGCAAATGTGGACCTAATAATTATTCCTGTCCACACAAAGCTGAGGGCAGAGTTACCAACACTAACAAACAGAAATGTTTTCAATTGACTTTATTTGAATAGTTGTGGAAGATGATACGAAGATGTGTTTTGAGGCCAGTGGACTAAAAAGGTGCACAACAGCTTCAAATGAATCAATCCACACTAGAATGGAGTTCAGCAAATACAGCTAAAAGCATTGGATAATAGAAAAGAATGTGTTATCCAGCAGCTTTCTAAGGAGATATGAAAATAAGTACTTTGATCGGTAGCTGGAATGACTTTTTTTTTCTTTTTTTTTCCTTTAGATTAAAGACAGTATCTTGGAGGAAAAGCAGAGGAGTCTGAATTTTGAAGAAATGAAAGACTGGGGATCAAAAAATTTCATTAAAGTAAACACACCTACAGTAAACAAAGTGCCAAATTCAGTTGCTAATTTACCTCTCAGGTTTGGAAGAAGCAATCCAGAAGAAAGAAGCATTAGGCCGAGTGCTTATTTGCCTCTGAGATTTGGAAGAGCTTTTGGAGAGAGCCTATCTAGGCGTGCTCCAAATTCATCATACAGGCTTGGGAGATCTCCACTTGCTAGAAGTTCTATTCATTCCCTTCTAAATCTGCCACAGAGATTTGGGAAGTCAGTGCCCATTGGTCTTTCTCAAGGCGTCCAGGACTCTGAACCAGGTAACACTTAGCAAATGTTCAAGCCATGTATTAAAATGTATATTAAATCATAGCATAGAGATGATCAAACATAGTCAGTCTTCCTCAGGCATATTCCCTAAGCATTTCTATATGAGGCCAAATTGCCATAGTTTGCAGTTTATGAAATCAAAAGGCCTCTGCAAGATCTAGTGGAGAATCTCTTCATGAAATCTTTGCTGATGAGAAGATGTCAAGTAATCAAAGCCAAAAAAGCTTTTATGAAAAGGTTAGGTCTAGCAACATTATCTTAGATCAGTTTTCATTCTGGAAAGTTTAAAGCTTTGGTGTAAAACAAACATTCAAATATCCCATTTCAGCGCTATAAAGTTATCTAAAAATTACTTTGTTTTCTAACTGTATGCAAATTAGTGTAGCAGAAATGTCAAAATTCAGAAGTTACTTAATTGCAGCATGTTGAAATGGTCAGAAAAAAATAGTTCTTTTCATCATCCGAACCTATTTTTTCCAGACTGAGGCAATGATTGAGATTTTGATTTTTTATTCCAGTACCAAATGAGAAATCTTTTTGATGACGCAAAATTTTTTTTAGGATAGAAAAAATATTTTCTGTCCATTTGTAAGAAAAATTTAAAATAGTTCTTAAATAACATTTCCTCAATAGCAGTTCTTTTCATATCTGCTGTTTTAAATCTGAACCATCTACTTACTTTCAAACCAACTACCCCAACTTAATTCTGACATAGGCATAAATTGGAAGTTCAAACAGAATAGATTATTGATATTTCAGAAGACAATGTTCTTTCCTATTTAATTGGATTGCTTTTATTCCTTTCTCACTGTCTCATCTGACTATAACAGATTTGGTTTTATTTTTCTGATTTTTTAGGGATGTGAATTCTCTCAATCACATTCAAGTTATCAAGTTATGAAGATGGAAATGGAAAGACTCAGAAAAGATGCAGTGTGTATTCACTACTAAAGATCTTGAGAAGGGAGTGTATATGAGAACTGAAATACAAACCTGTACTATATTAATATTACGTTATAATGTGTGTATTCTGTACAAACCATTGACGTATAAGGCAATGATAACTGTAGAGAGTGTTGTACCAGTTTACTTCAGTGGTGGTGTAATACAAATTCTATTTACTTCTGTGTGATTTCTGTGTGACTGATACCCTATTGGCTGTAAAAACTAATTTAAAAACAATAGCTGTAGAATTGAAAGCATTTTGAACAAATTTAAAAGAAACAGTGCAAATAAAGAAGCATGATACAAATAAAAAGAAGCCTACTGTGTGACTAACAAACAGAAGTAGAACCAAAATCACTGGTATCTTTGTGTCATATGTAGCTGAAGAAAATCAAGTAAAATGTAGAGAAAGCACTTTTCCTCTAGTTTATGAGTCATGTTAGATATAAATCCGAAAGGCCACTGGTCAGAAAAAAAATCTTGGACACCCATGAGGAATAGCATCTAATCAAAGTCATGCTGTAGTGCAATTACCTTCCTTTATATGTGAGATAATGTCTTCCCTAACATCCTACAAGATTTGCCCTGTGAGAGTCCTAGTTCCTCTGTTAATCTGAACATTACTGCTACTGGATACACGAGCAGAAGGGGCTATTCCATTGTATGCTCATACTTATATTTCATATTTCTTATTAAAAACATTCCCTTCTAAGTGTAATGTTGTAAGTTCAGGCTTCCTCCAAAATGTCAGTAAATTTCCAGTCAGTTTTGAAAAAAAGGTGAATTTCTACCTGTTTACTGGAATCCTGCTGTGATGGACTATACCCAAATCTATGGGATTATTCTTTCCAGTCCCCAGAGGTCTCGCTATCCTGATGGTGGCACTGGGCATTTCTAAAAACACACAACACATAACATACACGCTGTACAGCCACAGCTAACTGCCAACAGACAAGAACAACACATTTGAAGGAACAACATAAGCACCAACAGGACACACACAAGCATAAAATGGCCTGATCCTCTTCTCACTCATAGGCCAATCAGATGCAGAGCTTGCTAGCAGATTTTCCTCCCAGACACATGCGAACAGCTCTGAATCCCTCTAACAGCTGTTTGTGACTTGTGGTCCCTCTAAGCAGCTGACACACAGCCCTGCTCCCTCCAGCCTCCTAACCTATGAACAGCTCCCACATCTCTTATCCTGCTCAGCAGCTAATCCAGCCTTAGATTCAAATTAAGGTTGTGTGAGCACACATACACACATGGACAAATAGGTTGTTCCATTAACTGGTGCCTTGACAATCATTCTCTTCTCAGACCCATGGATCCAATTGAGACCCAATTTCCATCTCGAGTTGCTGGCACTCAGAATGCTCTACTTACTTCTTCAAGCTAGCTTAGCTTGAAATTTTTCAGTGGGTCATAAGCACACAAAACAGAGAGCACACTCACATAGGAAAGCACAGAGTTATTAATTAACAAGAAGACAGAGCAAGATAACAGGCACAAGGCATGACCAGACAAACATAGCAACAGCAGATTATCTGGATGCAATGGACTTCCTTTAATCCCAGTCTTCTTCATTTTCCCATGGTTGTTACTCTCTCAACTATCTTGATCCCTTCTTTTGACTGTCTTAGGCCTTCCTCTAAACATCCCCAAATAAGTTTAGCACTTTCCTCCATCCCTTTATAATATCCCATATGAAGTTTTATGTTATCCCACAAGCCCTCTCAAATATCCCATCTTAAGTTTGCTCTTTCCCATGGTTATTATGAGATCCGTGACAGTCAGTTACAAAGCTGTGGCTGAGCCTCACTGAGGCGCTAAGTTCTTTATGGCCCTATCAATCAGTGATCTGAGAGTTCTGCTCTTTGTTACTGTCTAGTTATCTCCAATTCCTCAGGGCTTGGGTATCTGACTGTTGAATTTATTACTTCTCCTGTATCTTGGTATTTTATGCTGAATAACAGTAACTTGATATCTCTACATTACTCATATCTTTACAGTAACCTCAAAAAATGAAGAAATCACAATCAAATTGATTTTTTTTTTTTTTTTTGTGAGATAAATTCGTAGTTGGGACAGAGTCTGAGATGCCATTCCTCTACAAAGTTAATGAGACTGCCTGAAAGACAATGCTAATTAATCAACCTGTGTCTGATGAATCTACATGTGTCACTCTGAAAGTAACATCTCCTATTTATTTCTATGCAAATTACAATGGATGTAAAGAGGACAATAATACTACTTGATAGAACAAATTCTCAGCTACGAAAGACTATTTTTTAACATAGGCATCACCATTAGCTACGCATTTTTGCAAGCAATGAATAAGAGTCTGCATACCGTGCTCAGAAAAGTTTGCAAAAGCACAGGTGACCCACTATTTCACAGCTACTATGACAAATAACATCAGTGCTAGGAAAATGTTGCCCACGCAGCCCATCTTCATTGGCCCAAACAGAAGGTGCCAAGTCCAAATTATATGGCAGGTGTGGTAAGACAATCCAGCCAAGACTGGCAACATGCTCCACAGCCTTCAAACTGGGAAGGGGACTGGTGTTATGATGCTGCAAGAGAAAGGCTGTCATCTTTTCTAGCCTGACTCTGACAGTACAAATCTTCCACTCAGACAGCGCTGAGATGTAATGGTCAGAGTTAACAGTTTCCCTGGAATCCAGAAATCCAGAAGGAACATCCTCTTCCTATCCCAAAAAACAGTGCAAATCTCTTTACCCACTGAAGGCTGATTTTTCTTTGATGGGGAATTAACGTCACTGCTCCATGGACTGCTGTTCTGACTCTTGTGTCTTGTAGTAGTGACACCACATCTCATCACCAGTAACAGTATGATCCAGGAAACTGTCACCTTCAGCCTTGTATTGGTTCAATAGGACCTGACAAACTCTCATATAGGGCTCTTTCTATTCCTGTGTGAGCATGCATGGGACCCACCTGGCGCAAACTTTGTGATATTCCAACCTTACCTCTATCATTTTCAATGCTTTGAAGCCAATATTCAGCTCCATACACAGTTTCCTGATCATAATTTGACAATTTGCATGGATGTGATGACCAAGAGTCTCTTCTTTCTATGGTATGACAGCTGTGCAGGGCCGACAGAACATGGCTTGTCTTTCACATTGCTGTCACCACTGCTGAAACGCACCACCCACCACCCCACTGTGCTCACACCCACTATTTGGTCTCCAGAAATGTTCAGCATGCATCAATGTATGTCAGTGGGTGCCATTTTTTCCACACAGAGGAATTCAGTTCCACTCCTTTGCTTCATACACACTTCCATGTCAGACATCATTCTGTCAGACTGCCCCTCTGCTGCCAACTGTCTCATGGCTACACAACGTTACAGAATACTGGTGGGAAGGATCAACCTCTACTGCCATACCACAATCTGCCTCTGAAACTGTGGGCCAATATAATGAAATAGGAGGCATTACTTTCAGAGCAGCCTTCATAATTCAATCTGAATTAGTAAAACTAAAGTCCTGAGAATGTCTAATCTGTCTGCTCACTCACACTGAAACACCAAAGAGAAACGGACATCAAAAAATATTGTGATGGGACTCAATATTTTGAAAGCACAGTCCCAAACCTATCTATCTCTGAGTTTCAGAAAACGCTTTACCTAATAAGTGCTGGTAACATTGGTTTTACAGCACAGCTCTTGAGCGCTGCTGCTAAGATGATGGTGAAGGATATTGGTCAACACGTTGTTTGTATGGGGGAAAGTCCAAATCCCAGCCTATGAAGTAGTTTTGTTGTTGCCTGTCACCAGAACAGGATATTGTTCTTTCTGTAATCAGGAATACTGTGGAATTTTTAGTGATTTATGGTCAAATGAACAGCAGAAGGAAATTCCCTGAACTTTGAATTGTGTTCTGGTCCTGCAAACCCCACTGCAGATCATGTGAACCAAGAGAAAATAAGATTTGTGAGAATCTCTGAGCAGCAAGAGGAGCTGCTTTTTTAAGACACTTATCACCAAGCTTCACAATTGGGAAGGGGTACACATCAACTGGCATTAAT